TAAACTAACAAAACCAAAATTATTTTCAATTTAAAATGTTATTATTGTAAACTTGTTAAGCAAGAATGATTTTGTTTGCATCTTAATTAGACCAATATAAAGTAGTTTGAGTTAAATAGCTAAAAATAGTTCTACAACTTATATTTGTCCTCTTTTCAGTAAGTGGGCAACACACACCAATTGTCAATGAACTTTCTCAACCTAATCAAAAACTACAATAACACTCGATCTTCCACCAGCTAAGGTTTGGGATCACTTTAACCTTATACCCGAAAGAAAAGTAAACCTAGTACAAATGGAGAATTGTTTACAAGCATAGGTTACTTGTTTCCTCCATGTTTATTTGCTTTTGGAATATAATTATTATTAGAAATGTAATTATAACTATTAGTTAGGACTTACATTTTCCATCCAACTTATCAAAGTTTATGCTCTGATGTTGCAGCCATAACTGGTACCGAAGCAGAAGTAGATGCTCTAATGAATACTTAAGTTGTTCAATCTAATATATGCAAAATCTAACCATCACTTTACATGCCGTCAACTGGTTTTGCTTGGTGCTATGTTTGTGGTGACCTGCTAGAAGGTAAAAACTTAAAAAAAAAAACTACATTGTTGAAAAGTTGATGGTGTAACACTGTAACTGAATTGTTGAAAAAATACTACAGTGTTGAAAAATTGTGCAAGAACTACAATCTGATGGTGCAGGAACTGCAAGCTGATGGTGCAGGAACTGGAAGCTGTTGGATAAAAATTGGAAGTTGTGTTGTTGGTTGTGTTATTTATTATGTATGCTTGTCAAGTTTATTTGTAAAATTGTAATGAATTTGAAGCTACAGAATTTGACGCTACTGCAATTAATTTGATGCTACTTAATTTAATGTTAATGCAATTAATTATAAGAATTTGATGCTATTGTATTTAATTAAAAATTTGAAATGAATTTGATGATGAGCAATTAAGTTTTTCTCATAGTAATTGGGCTTGAAATTTGAAATTTGAACTAGCCCAACCCATAGAATTTTGTAAAAAAATAAATAGTAAAAGTATAAATTCTGGATTTGGGCTTGAAAATCCAATACGCCCATTTAGAAAACTACATTTGCAGCTAACCGAATCAAGTACCTGAATTCGACTCAATTCAAACCTAAAATACCCGATTGTCTACCCGGTCAAAATTGGGCCTATAAGTGTAATATGTGGATTGCTTTGGTTGGGGGGTCTGGGCTCGAACCCAAACCGTCTTGAACCGATGTCCAACCCTACCATTTCCCATTTCACGTTCGCTTTCTCACGATTCACGAAACTTATAATTTTCCACTACATTATGTTTACCATCCCAAATCCACACACAATCCACGTGTCATTCATTTCCACTCCAATAATAAGATTTCAATCCAATCCTCACCATCCATTTCATCCGCACATTGAGTTGTCCTCCTCTTATAAACCCTCCTCGTATCTTTTCATCCTTTCTTATCTCTCTATTTTCCCTTCAATTTGATTATTAATCATTGTTCGCAATAATCTCTTAATAATTGGGATTGAATTTTAAGATTTTATACTGTTATCATTTTAGGAATTGTAATTTTTTCATTTCATGGTTGTACTATTGGAAAATTTTATTTTTCCAGCCTTGAACTTTAATTACTCTGTCAGATAATTTGTATTATGTAGTTTTGAATTTTAGGAGTGTTTCTTGATCATCTGGCTTTGCATATCTGGGACGAAGTACAAAGAAAATGACATGCTCATGCACCTTGCTTACGATAATTCTCAAATCCCACTATTCATTTAAAAATAACTTTTTTTTACACTTGTTATTAATGTTTTTTTTATTATTCATTTTTCAGGAATGGATCCTTGCCCACTATCACCACATACACGAGTTTGGGTATGACCCATCATATATTGAGGATTACCCACATGCTTGCATGTATCTCCCGCACAGAGGGAGTGATGATGTGGTGCCATTCTGTGTGTATATTGACCAAACTCAACATGACAACGTCATCTGGATGTCATACACTACTCACCAGGATACTATTTAATTCGACCACATTTCATTATACTTCAAATAGATGGCACGTGGGACTAATATCATGTGCAAGTATCTGGCAGAGTGGTGCATGCGACAATTTGGGTATGTGCATATCGTTCTGAGGTCCCCCTTCCAAGCTTCTTATGAGAGCATTGTCCGTAGAAAACTGGATGACAATTTAGCAGATTTTGAGAGTCATTTGGTATCAGAGGAATATCAAAGTCAGACAGCCACATTTGAGTGGTCTTATGTGGATGGTTACATGACTTGGTTCTATTTTATGTCACATCCTTACATGACACCAGACGCTCCTAGACGTCTATCTAGGTCTGCTCATGAGGAGATCTTGGAGAATGAGTAAGCCAGGGATGATCATGGCATTGATGTGTTTCCAATTTGTCAGATTATTATGCAAATGACATGAGAGGGCATCAAGTTTGGGTTGTTTGAGAGAGGTGACGATGAAGCGGTTGCCCTAGAATGTTCCATTCTTACTGAGATACGAAATGCCTTAGGTTACAATAGAGGAGGATTTAGAGTGTTAGGATTAAGCATACTCAGTAGATTATATATTTGACTGTATTTTTTTTATATATTTTCATGCTTTGAGAATATTTTTTGTACTATGATTGTCTTTCTGATCAATTAATGCATTACTATGTTCTATCGTGTTTCATTAATCTTTGAAACAAATAGTGACAATGTTAATCGAATTAAAATTACTTTGGATTGAAAAAACTACAATAACAGTACACTGTTTTTGAACAGAAACATGCATGCAAGACTTCAGAGTTGTAACTTCGAATTTACTCCCCAAGTAGTTGATAGATACATCTTCGAACTATCTTCTTAAAGAAAGAGACGGTTGTTTAATTCACTAAAGAAGAAATGTAATTTCAGAGATGTATCTGCGAATTAACCTTGAATTTATACAGAGATGAACCTCCAAACTAAGATTTAACAAAAAATATTTGATACGTATATCTTCGAATAAACTCAAAAATATTTGAAGATTTTTAGAGGTGCCCTTTTATTTTTAACATTAAAATAATAATATCTATTACACTTGAAATACAATACAAATTTTAAATAAAAAAAATCAAACTTATAAGATGTGATTTCCATAATAATAAAAACTAATAAATCAAACAAAGAAGACGAAACTTAGATAAAATATTTGTACATTGACTTACATCTCATAATCACTAATATAAAATGAAAATATAAATAAATATCTTCATTGTCGTTTTCATCCGTCCAAAGAAATAGGTTCATTATAATATGAAATAAAATTCTCTTTCATACAATAAATGTTTTAATGGAGTATTTCACATAGATTAAAAAATATTATTTTTTATTAAAATATTATTTTATTAAATATTGAAAATGATAAAAGTAAAACTAATTAAAGGGTAAAATTAATAAAAAATAGTTAGTATTACTTAAAAATTAAAAATGATAATTTATTTTATAACATTTTTATTTTACAAATAAAATTTACTCGGACTGAAATTGACTCGATCAGACAATATGATAGTCAGAGATAGTTATTACCTCCTTCAAATTTAAATTCGAATTTTCAAATAATCTTTGTTCTGGGCTCCAAACTCAAATAAAAATATAAAATTAAAACTCAAACTTGACACAATTGAGTTCGGATGTTTCTGTTCCGCAACAATTTATTTAGTAAAATTAATTTTAATAAAAATATTTTTTTTTCAAAATGTTATGAATAATAAAATAAATATTTTTAAAAAATATCATACATATATTTCAAATAATAAATACAAATTAAAATGTCAATATATTGATCACATATTTAATATTTTAAATTATCAAAAATAAATAATAATATACGTAATAAAATAAACGAAATGAGTTTGAAAACGAATTCAAAGGCAGATTTGAGATAAATATTTGTAATTGAAAAATATCTAAATTTAATTTAAATTCAGTCAAAAATGAATTTTTCCAATTAATTTTAAAGTGGATTCAAATGAACACCCACGAATATACATTTTGTTGTCATGATTAACAAGGAATAGAAATACAAACAAATTTAAATTAGATTGATTAATTTGTTTTAATGATGCATAGGAGTATATATTTATGTTATTATGTCAAATAATAAATAATAAATTATTGTTTATTACTACTCTCTCCGTCTTAAAATAGGTATATTTTTTAAGATTTTCATATTTTTTAAGATAATAATTAATTATATTAATTTTAATGTTTAAATGAATCTCTTTTATTAAAATAATTTTATTAATAATAACTAATGAGATAATTATATGAATTAAAATACAATAAATAAAAATAAATTAATATAAAAAAATAATAAATATCACATTAATATTATAAAATAATAAATAATTTAAGATAAATAAAAAAAATGACACATATTATGGAAAGAGAAATTATCTATTACACAATACTTCCTCTATAACAATTTATAAATAAATTTAACTTTTTTAATACATTTAACATTTAATTTATCTAATCTATATATAAATTAAATCATTATTATTAAATAAAAAAATCAAATTTAATTATAAATTATTTCTAATAATGACATTAATCCACAAGTCATTAATCATAGCTAACTGTGTGAAGCTACTAATTGCGTCCCATTTCCCATTTCACGTTCGCTTTCTCACGATTCACGAAACTTCCAACTTTCCGCTACATTACGTTTACCTTCCCAAATACGCACACAATCCACGTGTCATTCATCGCCACTACCACAATAAGATTTCAATCCAATTCTCACCATCCATTTAGTCCGTCCTCCTCTTATAAACCCTCCTCATATCTTTTCATTCTGTCTTATCTCTCCTTTTTCAGATCCACACTTCATTTCAAACCGTTTCTCACGCATTTTCCATAACCGCCATTTCAACTCAGTTTCAGATCCAACTTTCTTCGATTCTTCAAAATTCAAATTCACTTTTTCGCAATGAAGACGAATCACGCTATTGCAGGATTCTCAGTTCTTCTCTGTTTCTCTTTATTAGTCAACATCGCTTCATCTGCCGATTCACCGGCTCCGGCTCCGACTCCAGATTCATCGGTAAAATCTACTTCTCCTTCACCTTCTCCTTCTCCAGATTCTTCGCCAGCTCCAACTCCAACTCCGGCTTCATCTCCTAATTCCGATTCGCCTCCAGGACCTTCACCTGAAAACTCTCCTTCTTCTTCACCTTCTCCATCTCCATCTCCAGATCACGCGGCTGATTCCCAACTAAGCCACGCCGGTGATGGAGATACTGACAACAAATCAAGCGGAGGAGGAATGAGTTCCGGTAAGAAAGCAGGGATAGCGGTTGGAGTGATTGCAAGTGTATGCGTGGTTGGATTGGGAGCGATGGTGTACAAAAAGCGCCGGCAAAACATACAGAGATCTGAATATGGATATACGGCGAGGAGAGAACTTCTGTAGAGACTTTGATTTGAATCTGAGTTGCTTCTATTTAGCATTCATTCATATACTATGATAGCTTATTTTCCCTTCAATTTGATTATTATTGATTGTTCGCAATAATCTCTTAATAATTGGGAATGAATTTTAAGATTTGATACTGTTATCATTTTAGGAATTGCAATTTTTTCAGCCTTGAATTTTAATTACTCTGTCTGATAATCCGTATTGTGTAGTAGTATTGGGAAATTTTAATTTCCAGCCTTGAATTTTAATTACTCTGTCCGATAATCCGTATTGTGTAGTAGTTTTGAATTTTAATTTTACGGCTGTTAAGGCTAATCAAATAGATTTATGATGTCACTTGTTTTTTTTTTAAAATGTTTAATCTACTTTCTGTCTAAAAGTCTGATTAAAAATAGTGTTTAGTAGTTATATTACCAAATATTATTTTTGTTTTATTTCAATCATAAATAATTTAAATGAGTTTTTTTTGTAAGTCTCATATATTGAGAAAGAAAAACATTAGCAAAACCTTTAACCCATTAAAAAGTAAAAAATTTAAAAAAATATTTCTAACCTATTATATATAAAATCATTAGAAAATTAATAAAAAATAATGACGGAATTATGGGTCTTCCTAATATAGTTAGAAAAATGAATAAAAAATAATGACGGAATTATGGGTCTGTTGTTTCAGTTTTAAAAAGATTTTTTTGTTTTGTTTTTGAAAATAGATTTTTTAAAACTATTTTTAAAATATTAAAAGTTTTTTTATATTTATTTTTTTTAAATTAAAATATTAATTTTGACATCTTATAACATAAATATATATTATTAAAAATAATATATAGTCAAAATTATAATTTTTAAAAAAAATTATATTTCAAAAATAATTTTTATAAAAATCTATTTGAAATAACTTTAAAATTAAGTGATTTTTAAAATTTTGATATCTAAATTTTTTTTAATAAGAAGATAAAATTAAGGGTGTTCGCGGTGTACTTTGGACGATTTTGAAGCAAAAAAATTATCTGAACCATAAAAGAAAAAAATGTACGATTCATTTTTTATTCGATTGGCTTTTAAAAATAAAACCGAACCAAAACAAATCAAATTAATGCGGTTTGAATTGATTCGATTGGTTCAATTTTTTATTAAAAAAATTATTGAATCATACGTATACATATAGAAAAAAATATAATTTTGTGTTTAATCATTCATACAATATCATAAAAAAATTATTATTATCAAAATAAGTTTATGATTTGATACATAAAATTGTGTAATATAATTTTATCTAAATCTAAAGAATAATATACATACAATTACATTCTTAAATAAATATTATATAAAAAATACAATAAAATATATTTTATAAATATAATATTTATAAATAAATAATATTTTATTTTTTATGATTTATAAATTAAAATAAATATTATAAAAAAATATACACATAATATATATGTTGATTTTTTTAAAGAATTAAAGAAATATATATATTTGTTAGTAAGATTTTATAACATAATACAATTTAGTTTGATTTGATTCAACTTACAAAATACAAACTGCAAATCAAATCAAACCGTACAATTCCGTTAGAAAATGATTCAAACATATTTAAATATAATTTTTTACGATTTTGATTTGATTCGATTTGATTTTATAATTTTCTTTTAGGTTAGTTTAATTTTGAATATTCAGATAAAATACTTAAAATAGCATTTTAAAAATAATAATTCAAATCAAAATTTTAATTAAAGCTATTATGAAAAATTTCTTTATAATTTTTTTTATTTAAAATTATATGATATTATAAAAATTATTTTAAAAAAAGACAAAACAAACTGATCTTATAAGTGAGTCCCAAAATATCTATAAAATAGCACATGTATCTCTTTATCTATAAACGTGTGAGATGAAAAAGAGTGTATATGAAGAAAGAAAAAAAAGGACATACAAATATAACTATTTCAACTGTTTTTGACTTGTCATATTATCAAAGATTTATTAAAAGCTTGCACAATATTGAGGAATTTTTCTTTTAAATAATTAAGTTTTAAAGTTTTAATACTAAATTAGCAAATCTTCTTCAATAATTTTTAATCTAATCATATTTTAAATATAAAAAAATGATTTAAAGAGGGATACCTTTGAATTGACGTCTCTTATATTTTTTTTCTATTTTTTTCATTTATCTGTAGATTTTTCAACAAATTTGATATTTCCTGCGGATTTACTTGTGGATTTTACCTGCAAATTATTTTCCATAGGTAACTCCGTATGAAAATCCACAGGTAAATTCGTAGACAATGTCAAATTTGCAGAAAAATTCACAGATAACTGAAAATTTTGAAAAAAATATAGGAGACGTCAATTCAAGTGGAGCCTCCTCTTTAATCTTTTTTTTTTGTTTGAAACATAGTTAGATTGATAGTTATAGGGAAATGTTGGTTACTTTGGTATTAAAACTTTAAAATTTAATTTTTTTTAATAAAAAATTCCAACATTAACCCAATTAGTTTCGATCTATAACTTTGACCAACCTCTATCTATTATTATCTCCATAGCTTTAATGATTACAACAAATTCTGCAAGATATGAAGATGACCAATAAACTATTACGCAAATGCTACAACAAAGTTACCATGCTTGTTGCGAAAAATTCCACCATTACCTGTTGGAAGAAGATGATGATTGTATGCAATATCACAATTATATTCCATCCAATTTAGAGGGGGTGGGGGGATGCCATAATACTTATGTAATTTGAGGAGCTCTATGGGGCTTTGACTGTAATGTAAAAAGCTTTGATGATTTTAAAATCATTTAAGGAAGAAAATGATAGGATCATGGAGTTAATTTTATATAATCTAAATCGTTAAGTTAGAAGTTGAATATAATTTAGTAGGGCTTTTATTACTTAGTTGAGCTTTATAGCCTTTGAGTCTTTAACTCTATTATCCATTACAGGTTTTATATATGTACTCTCATTGAGTGATTTGAGAATCAAATGAAATCAAAAGTTATCTTTTATCTATATTCTCCTAGTTTATCTTTAGAATGTCTAGTTTTTATTATATTTTATTAGTCTTGTTAGGATTCTTGTTTAACATTGTGATATGGTGGGAGAACTGATTTGAGGGTTTTGCGTTTGATCGCAAATGTTGCAGTTAGCAAGAGTCTCCACTGACTTTTCTTTTATCCAAAAAGGAAAGGTGAAAAAGCACAGGAAAGACCTTTGAGATTGTTTCTTGAGTTCGAGGGGGTAGATAATGAAAAGGGAAGGTATTATCATCCTTTTCATCCATGTTTTTTCATGAGCTTTTAGTTATTTGCTAGATCACTTGCTTTTTGTTTGAAATTGTGTTTGATGTGATTTTTGAAAGTATTATGTAAAGAGGTCATTGTTTAGGCAATCTTTGTAATGATTCTTGTTTGTAAGAATGTATACAAAGATGTTTGATCTTTTGAAAATATTTTCAATTTTGTAAGATGTTTGAAAGTGTATGTGTTTGTTTTGAAAATAGCAAGGATGTTTAATTTGAAATGGAGCAAGTAATTAGGAGCAATCTACCTACTCAAATGTCTTTCTTGTTCATTTTCTTTTCCTTTGACATTGTTGTCGTACCATTGATTTGGTAAGCAACCCTATCTTTGGATGTAAACGGGACGAATGTGGGTCATCGTATAACCATGATTAGCAATGTTGCAAGGTATCTTAGCATTCTTTTTGAGGGACTAAGATCATTTGTAAGGCAACTTAGATAACGTCATCGAGGGACTATGATCTTGTATTTGCTTGTTTTGGCTAAGATACCTTACATGCGTAATATGATCATTTTGTATAAGGCAACCAAGTGGAATAACCCTAGGGGTGTTTGTGTGCAAATGTATTGTTTTCATGCTTGTTTTTGTCTTGAATTAGGGTTTTCTAAGTATTGGTTTTAGTCTTTCCATACAAACCCTAATTACTAGCATGTTATATAAAAGTGATAAATTGCGAAATTTAAAGTTACTACGCTATTACAACATTTGTGGGGAGGGGGGTATACAATTTGTAAATGGGGATTGCAAAAATTTAAACCTAATTAGTCTATTACAACCATATTGAATTGACATGAATATACAAGGAATTTAAATACAAAGTATAAAAATGAATAAATGTACAAGGATGCACAATATGAAGAAAATGAATTTTGTTTGGTTTTCATGAAAAAAAGATTTTGTCTTAACCTAATTTAAATAAAGAAAATAGTTAATTAAGTTTGGATTTATTAAGGAAAAGATTTTAAAAGAAAACCAAAATTCTATTAATTAATCAAAAGAAAATAAGTTTAAGAAAAGTATATATTCTTTGGTATTTTTTTATCTTGAAAATATTTGTAGTATTATAAAATATTTTTAGTCCTTTTTTATATTAAAATAATGTATTTTAAATGGTGTGAAGAAAAATAAATAAACAATATAATATTAATTAAGTTTATAAAATCTACTTAATAAAATGAATGAAGTATAGAAATATTTTTATTTATGGAAAAAATAAAATAAAATAAGTCAAAATATAAATATATCATTTTTTTTGTATTTTTATGATTTTTTAATATTAGAAAAAACAATTTAAGAAAATAAATAAAATGGAAATAAGAAAAGAAAATAAAATTGGACCAGGGGTGTCAATGGGAAACAGGGAGGTCAACTAGCAAAAATTAAAATGAGACAGACCCAAAGAGCCCAGCGCCTGCCAAACAAAAAAAGGGCCAGAATTGTGAAAATATGAAAAAAAATGCAAAAGGGTACCACTGGAGCTCGAACCCAGGTCGCAAAGGTTACAGGCGCGCGCTTCTACCACTGGGTGGCTATATATCCGTTAATACAAATGGAACAATAAATATGTAAGGCAAAATGTATTCTGAAGACTTCATCTTCAACCTCCAGCCAGACCAACTGTAACTTGCTCATTTCTCATCAAAAATGAAAATTGTAAACATGAAACTTGTAGAAAAATTTTCCACAAT